TTTTTGTCAATTGATTCCAGCCTACAGAATAATCACTATTCTGCCGGCGTCAAAAGCGATATAAAGGGGGACTGAAAAATATAGAAATTTGAGAAGTCTAACCAATTTATATGGTTTCCTATGGCAATGACACAAATTCTTCTTATTAGTTGATGCCAATCTTTTGACTGGACTCTTGTCTGCGTAAGTGTGTTGGTTTTTTGACTCACGAGAATACATTTCTCTATCAACTTGACCAACAACATGCTTATGTTTGTGTATTACAGATCTTTGTTTTTTGCACAACTGCAATGGTCACGAGGCTTGTTGCTGTGCTTCTCAGTGAGCTTAACCTGAATGTCCGTGAAATTCATTCTCGAAAACCACTAAGTTACAGAACTAGGGTTTCTGATGAATTCCGGAAGTCAAAAGGTCTCATTCTCGTAACATCTGATGTATCTGTACGTGGAGTGGATTATCCAGATGTTACCCTTGTTGTATAGGTAATATATCGTGTGAACGAACTTGTAGAACGAATTTACCTTCATCCTTTTACACCCCAACCCTTGCCGCTGGGTACTCCTGACATATTTGAAATAATAATTTTTATTTTTTGAGGTGACTGTGGTGTTATCAGCTATTAAGTCTTGGCCCCCCGTGGTGACCCAAAAGGGCTACTTCAGAATTTTAATGAATTTTATCAATTTGACTGTACCCAGTGCATGTGTGGGCAGCCTTGGATTGATTTAACGATTATTGCTATTGTAGATTTGGGTGCCGGCTGATAGATAGCAATACATACATCGACTGGGTAGAATGGGCCGTAAAGGTAAAGAAGGACGAGGCATATTGTTGTTGGCTCCTTGGGAAGAATTCTTTTTGTCCACTATTAAGGACTTGCCACTGACAAAGGCACCCGAACTGTTGGTTAATCCAGAGACGAAAAAGAAGGTGAATGTTGAATAAAAGTGGCCATGCATTGCGTTAGTCGAGTTCTTTTCCTGTAATTGTGAGCCGGTCGCATCACACGAGCATGTTTAATGGGAGAGTTGCACCACATCATTAGTCCCCAACAAAATATAGTTTAGGTCCAGTAAAAGATTTAACTTTCTTGAAGTCTATCTGTTGGTACATGTTACGAGTCATAAACGGAAGCGACACGTGGCACCATATTTTAGTAGTGGGATCAGCCTAATTAAATTGGAGTATATTTTCCTGATCTTCGACGTGGATTCCGAGGCCTTG